GCGAGGGGACTCGTGGCCCAGCCCGCGCATGCATCTTGTCATCGTTGGGGACTGGCCCTGCCTATGTGGGATTCACAGGTTGGTGAGGGCGACTGCTCTGACCAAGCCATGGGCCATCACAGACTGTGATGGTGGTCATGAAGGATTCAAGGGGGCCCACTGGTAATAAAGGGGGACACACACTTGGAGTGGGGGTCAGGAAGTCTCCTGGAGAGAGCACCAGGGGTAGAGAGCCAGACAGCAGCCTCACACCCAGAACTGCCTCCTACCTCACTAAGACCCATGAATGTAGCCACAAGCTAAAGAAAGGTGGCCTCCTTTCCTGGATTTAGGAGCTCTGAGTCTGCCCTAGGGTCCTGGGTTGGCTGATTCTGGAAAAGTCAGAAACTGTGGAGAAAGAGAAAGAGAGAGAGACAGAAAGAGAGAGTGTAGGAGGGAAGAGTAGAAGTTGCAGTCACAGGAAGGCAGGCGAAAGTCTCAGGGTGCTGCCAAATAGAAAAAGAGAAATAAAACCTCCTCTTATAATAAAATAAGCGTGGTGGGCAGGTTGGAACGAAAGACTAGGAGCAGACAAACGTTTGTTAATAGCTTTTTAAAAATAGGATGGAGGGCCAGGGGCTTGGCTGAGTGAAAGAGCATGAGCTTAGCATGGGCGAGGCCCTGGGTTCCATCCCCAGTGGCAAAACAAACACAAAAAAGGAAATTCTAGGGAGGCTCGTCAGGAAACGGGAAAAGCGAGGGTGAGATGTCCAAGAGGGCAGCACATGGGTCCTCTGGGTAAATCTGTGCCCTTCTGTCACTATCCCCTGCTCGCAAGTTTGAAGCCTGTACAGCTGCCAGTGACTTACCCTCCACTCTTCTGTGCGCTCGTGAGTGTTGGATTTTCACGGTCAAAGCCATGCCAAGGACACACAGCTTCTTAACGACAGTTGGTATTTAGCCTCCGTCTCCAGCGTCTTGTATCTTTTTCTTGTTTTTCCCCTCTACTCCCAGGAGTCTGCCTTTTCTTGAATCCCCCTCTAACAGGATGTCGTTGTTTATTTTTTTCCTTGCCCTCTGCCCTCTATGAGAGCTATAATCCTTTGTGCTGGGTTCCTGTTTCACTGCTATCTTGGGAGCTCCTGCTGTTTGGCGGTGGTGTCTGCATATTCATAAACTCTAAGCTATTAATTCCTGGAGCAGACCAGCTACGGCACGAGCGCCTTTCGCTGGTCCTCCACACGGTGTTGTAGCTTCACTTAGCAAGACCATTGCTTGTTGTGTTTCCAGTTGTTTGTGTGGTAGAAGATTCTCAACAGAACTAATTGTAATGAAACCCAGGCAGGCTGTAGAGGCCTCTGCTGCCCAGTTCTGCCTGGAAAAGATGGTGTAGCAGCAGATGGAGAACTAGGCGCACTCAGAGGCAGGCAAGTGGTTGGCCACCTAAGTTATGTGTCATGGAAGGAGGGACATCGGCTCCCTCGACTCAGGCCTCTTTGATGGTGTGGTAGAGATCAGACTGGCTGTGTCCACAGAACTCCTGCTGCCCTGGAGAGAAGCATGTGGTGGGAGATGAGCATGGAGAGAAGTGTTGCCAGCATCCCCGGGACCTAAAGCTGTTGTCAGTCATGCTAAACATGTGCTTGTCCACTGAGCCATACCCATGCCCTAGAAGTTCTTTAGAGAGAATATTTTGTGGCTTTAAAACCACAGCACTATGCCAGGGATGGTGGTGCACAGCTATAATCCCAGCACTTGGGAGGCTGAGGCAGGAGGATCGTTGCAAGTTCAAGACCAGCCTGTGCTACAAAGTGAGCTCAAGGCCAGCCTAAACTGCATAGTGAGACCCTGTCTCAAAAAGACAATAAAATAAAATATAAAACCACAGGACTATATCTTCTCTGATTCTATGAAAGATGAGTCTCCTACCTTCCTCCTTGCAGTTACTGGTGGAGAGCTCCTGACATGGCAGGGGAAAGATTAGGCTCCCCCTTCCAGCAGGAGTAAAGCCCTTGAACTTCCTCTCAGCATCACTAAAGTTAAAGAAAGCCCCCCACGGAACTGGAAAGTGATGATTTACTAGTCAGCTTTCTGATACTGTAACCAACACCTGAGCTGAATCAATTTAGAAAGAAGAAAGGTTTCTTTTGGCTCCAAGTTTTGGAGATCTCATGATCTCATCCATGGTCAGGTGAACGCATTGCTTTTAGGTCTGGTGGGGAGGCACAGTACATTGTGGCAGGAGCAGCTGGCAGAGCAGAGCTGTTCACCTCATGGCCAAGACATGGAAGAGAGGAAGCAGAAGAGGCTGGAATCCCAGGATCCCTTTCAAGGATGCAGAGCACCCTGCCCCAAGAACCTAACTTCCTCCCGATAAGTCTCACTTCTTAAAGGCTCCCTTCTGTCCCAGCAGGGTCACTGGCTAGGGACCAAGCCTTTACCACATGGGCTTTTGGAGGACACTCATCCAAACCACAGCAGATCCAGTCGTTTAGTCCACACTATAAAGCGTGGCTCTTTTCTCTTTAGGACACCAATGACACACTCTGTGGCAGGGCAAAGATGAAAGAAAGTGCCAGGCTCTGTGACCTCTGACTTGTGCTTCTCTATCAATGGATAGAGGGTCAATGGGTAGAGCTGGTACATCCTCACCAGGTTCTGTTCCAGCTCTCAGACTTTGACTTTTTCCTCTCTAAAGAGGCCTGAGATAATAGCTTTGCCTCAGCTCCTCATCAGATAGCAGTTAAAACTCAGGGTCGCAGCTGGTTATCCAAGCCTCAAACTATTCATCATGGAGAGGTCTGTGCCTGCGCCGAGTTCTTCCCAGAGGACAGCCCCCTCCAGGCCAGAGGGTAGCACTGTGACATCAGACATGGGTAACCCTTCCATACTTCTGTTGGGTGGGATCAGCAAATCCTTTATCTAATAGTAATGGCTGGATGTAGGTATCATCTGTAAAGTTATAGAAAAGCAGCTTTGATTCTTGGATTGGGTTAATTAGAAAGCTTTGCATTTCCTCTGAGTCTTGGGAAACATATTTAATCATTAATTGCAGTGTCCCAGAAATAGGTAGAAATAATAATAACATAAAAATATTATTAGAGAAAGACTTTCTAGCCTGCAAAAAAATTGGATATAAACTTGAGGCTAGAAATCCTCTTAGACTGCAAAAGTAAGTGAAGCACAAGGTCCTGTTTCCATCCACAGATTCTACAGAGGGGAAAGGAGAAGGAAAATACAGGACTGAGAAGTCACATGACATTACTTTGAGTGCCTGATTATTTTACAGCTGTATCATTTGTGATCCGATTTCCACATGGATAAGTTTGGGCCATTTCTGGCAGGTTCCACCTGCCCTCTCTTGTGGCCCAGCTTTCTTCACTGACCATACATTCTGTCTTTTCCTGTCCTCTGTAAAAGCAAGGAAACTTGTGACCTTCTGCTTGCAGCACTGAGAAGTACGGACACAGCAAATCCCTGCACCTGTGTGGAGCAGCTTGCCTCTATCTTCAAAGCACAGAGTAATCGTTGTGCATCTAAGGAACCGATTATCCTTTCCATTTCTTATCTTGGGTACAAGTAAGCAGGGAGGTATTGCTTCCTTATCTTGGCTTGTGTTTGTACAGTGTAGGTATTCTTTTATGAGGTTTTGCTGTCCTTGGGTTTGGCTTATTACCTTGTTAGCCTGGCTTGCGTCATGACAGCGACACAGGGTAATGAAGATCAACCAACTGGATTTTTCTTAAACAAAATCTGGGAAAGGAGGTGCCAACGATTTTATTAGCTTCAAGCAGGGGTGGGTGAACCCCTGAAGGCCACAACAAGCCCGTGTCTGTTTTTGTACAGCCCATGAGCTAAGAATGGTTTTTGTATTTTTAGATGATTTGCAGAGGATCAAAAGGAAAAATAACATGTGACATGTGACAATTATATAAAACTCAAATTTCAGTGTTTACGAATACTGTCGCATTGGAACACAACTACAGTCCCCTTCTTACCTACTCTCTACAGCTGCTTTTCCATTGCAGAATTGTGTAGTGGCAGCAGATACGATATGGAACTGCAAATGTCAAGCATTGACCCTCTACAGGAAAAGTGAGCTGATCCGGGGGCTTGAACAGTTACATAGCAACAGTAGTTGACATCTTTTGAGTCTCACTACGTGCCAGACACTGCACGGATCATCGTTCAGGCATTATGTTGTTTAATCTTCATACTGAACTCTAAAATGTAGCTCTTTTATCATCATTGTAGAAATGAAGGAAAGGAGCACCAGAGAGGTTGTGTCATTTGGCCAAATACAAACAGCGGATCAGTGTCAGAGGTGGGATTCACGCTCACATTTGGCTGATTCGTGAGCTACCACAGAAAGCTGTCCCGGTCGGCAGCAGCAATACCCACGCATATCCTCCCTGGGTCTGAGCAAAGGCTACAGATACACATTCTGGATTTGGTTCGTCTTACTTTTATTTGATTTAGTTTTATCATTTAACTGAGCTCTCTGTTTGTCTCTCTCCTGAGTGCATATAAGATCACTAAGGGTGGTGATCACTTATGGGCACAGAGTAGAAGCTGAAGGAAAAGCTCACCGCACACCCAGGCTCCCAGCTGCCCATCTGACTGCTGCGCGCATTCCCTAGGCCATGGCCTTTTCTCCTGCCCCTCCCAGCACTGGGGCTTTCTGGAACCCAGCCTGGACACACTGCCTGTCCCGGAGGGAGCTGGGTGCCCGTCCGCTGTAGGGTGTGTTCATTCAGAGCAGGATGAGCACATGAGGCCTCCAGCAGCTTACATCAAAGGGCAAAAGTAACTCCTGAGAGTGATCAAAAGGAATTCTTTGCTTATCATTCTATGAAGCCTGCTGGCCCTAAGGGATAGATACTGGCTGATGAGGACTCATTTTCCCTGTCGGCTGACCAGCACACATCACCAGGTAGCTTCCTCACAAGACAGAGGGGTGGGAGCTAACAAGAACGTCCTGTCCCTTCCTGCCTGGCCTGGCCCTGGGAGTCAGTGTTAAGGACTGGGTAGCACTCAGGCCTCTTACCTATGTCCATATCGGCCAGAAGCCACCAATGCCGAGTGAGTGACAAGGCCCAGAGGCTGTGCTCAGTGTGCAGAGAACAGGCATAATCTCTTCTGACTCTGCATAATTCTGCCTACTCTGTTTTATCAGTTTATTCAGACTAAAGCTAATGGGGAACAGTGTATTGTTTGTCTGTTCATACATCCAGAAAACCAATGTTGACTGAGTCCTAAAACAAGCCCCACACCAGGCATAAAAAGCAAATCATTAGTCCTTGCTAAAGAAACTCATAAACTGAAGTATCTTTAATAATAATGTTCACTATGTATCATGTGCTGTGTGAGGTTCTTCACAAAGACTAAACCGTTTTCCACAAAAACCCTATGTAGTTAGTACCCTTATTATTCTCATTACATTGATAAAATTTCGGCATATAACGTGTGGGATTTCCATCACCGTGATAAAATACCTGAACACACAAATTAAAAAGAGGAAAGTTTTTTAGTTCATGGTTTTAGAGGTTTCAGACCACGGTTGGTTGGCTTCATTGTTTGTGGCAAGGCAGAAGGTCACGGGAGGGAGTGTATAGTGCAGCAAAGCTCTTCACCTCCTGTCCAGGGAAGCAAGCAGGGAGGAGAAAGGCTGAGTCCCAGTGTCCCCTGCAAGGGCACATCCCCAATGATTTCCCTTCCTCCTAGGCTCCACTTTCTAAAGGCTCTACCACCACCCATAGTGGCACAGCCTTTTAACACACGGGCCTGAGAGGGCCATTTCAGATCCAGGTTAAATTTCTTACCCAGAGTCATGCAATTCGTAAGTGGCAGAGCTGGGACGCAAACCCCGTCCCTGGCTGTAAATTTCACCCTCTTCTTGACTAGTGCACCATTCTGCTTCTAACTTATAGTCTTGTGACTGTACAGTGCTGTGAAATCATCACGACAGCCTTAAGAAGTGGCATTTTATCAACAGCTAACAGAGGCAAGGAGCAATCCAAAGACACCTACAGTGGTACCCACCTATCTGTGGTTTCGCTTTCCTTGGTTTCATTTATCTTCAAATTTAGTCCATAATGTTAAATAGAAAATTCCAGAAATAAACAATTCATTTTAAATTGCATGCCATCCCAAGTAGAATAATGAAATCTGATGGTGTCTGTCCCATCCTTTTGTCCAGTGTATCCACGATGTATGGCTGCCCACCCGTTAGTCTTTTAATAGCCAATTGGCTGGCAGATCCATTGTCAGGGTATCTCAGCCTGAAGTTCAAGGAACGTTTATTTAACATTGGCCTCAGAGTGCTAGAATAGTGATGCTAGCAGTTCAGACACACCAAAGAGAAGCTGTAAAGTTCTTCCTTTAAGTAAAAAGGTGAATATAAAATAAGATTATTTTGAGAGATCACATTCACATAATTGTTATTATGGTCTATTGTTCCCTTTTATCATCAGTGGGTTTTGATATCTTTTTAAATTTTACTTTTTTATAATCTTAAAGTAGGATCTCACTAAACTGCCTAGGCTGCTCTGAAACTTGCAATCCTCTTGCCTCGGCTTTCCAGAGTGCTGGGTTTAACAGGCGTGCGCCACCACGCCTTGCTATGTTTTTGGTCTCTTCCTGTGCCTAATTTAAAACTCAAACCTTGTCCTGGGTGTGTACGTTGGTATAGGGGAGAGCGGAGGGCACTTAGCGTTCGGTAGTACCCCCAGCTGGGGACTCGGTGCGCCCAGGGGATCCGAGTGCCCAGGACGCTGGGGGAACGCGGCTCTTCCGGGGACGCGGGGAGGAGACGGCGCCCAGGCCCGGGTTCCCCCGCTCCTCACCCCCATCCCCGCCCCGGGAGTCAGATCTTTCCCGCTGGGGACACAGGTTAGACAAACAAACCTAGAAAGAGGAATCTCCCGCCCCGCGGAGCCGCGGCTGCGCCCTGGGGCGGCGCCTGTTGCCAGGGAGACCGGCGGTGGACGCGCTCGGGGCTCGGCAGACCTGGGAGGCGGCAGTGGGGCTTCCGCGAGGCTGTGGTTTCTCCCTTAGAACAAATAGAGTCTGGTGTTTGGGCTGGTCAGTAGAGAGGGAGGTGGTAGGGTTCCCTCTGGACTCCGGGTTGGTTCCAGAGCACATAATTCATAGTACGGGCCGGAGAGGAAGGACTGTGAGGAAGCGGAAGCGAGGAGCCGAGCCAGACATTACCAGCCGCACACCCACCCACCGCCGCCTCGACCACACCCGCGCGCAGCTCGGCGGGGACCGTGCTGGGTGGACCCTGACTCCAGGTCCCAGCCCAAAGCAGGGGTGGGGTGGAGGGTAGGGGGACACGAACCCAGCCCCCACCCTATGCTCCAATCCACTGATTAGATTCAAAGAGACGCTTTGACTGTCCAGGCCAAACAATGGCAACATAAAACAGCATTCTGTTTGCTTGCTTTTGCTTTTTCCTTCTGTGATAGAGCTAGAGAAAGAATGAGGAAGGGTAGATGTGCTGCCCGTCGTTCGCGATGTCCCAGCCTGGATGGGCTGATTACTGTCCCCATTCTCGCTCATCCGGGAGAGGTCCTGAGGCACACTGAAGGAGGACCCGTGCCAGCAACAGGACTTGGGCTGGAGTTCACTCAGGTTCACTACGTAATGGCTACTTCATCCTGAGTTAGTCAGGTAACCTTTTTAAATCTCATTCCCCACGAAGATAATAGCCAGGATGGGTGGGGTTACCCTGACCTGAGACCTTTACACCCCTTTCCCCCGCCAGCCCTATATGCCTTCCCAGTTCTGCGCCAGCTCGAAGCTCCGCTGGAACACACCATGAACGAGGCAGGTGTACCACTTCCCGTTTGTGTGGAAAAACCAGGCCAACCCCAGGCGTTTGCAGGACCCCAGTTCTTTGGTTAAACTTTCACCCACAGGAGTCGAGTAGAAGAGAGCGCTTCCTAAAGACTGAGATGTTAGGTATTAGGGAAAGGGAGAGCTTCCTAAATACTGACACAGGAAGGTATAGTTTGTATTTACAAAAATGAAGAAATTTAAACCAACAAACCACGGGCCGAGCAGCTCATTATCAAGCGTAATGCTAGAGAAGGATTATTAACAGGATGGCTCCTAAGCACCTATAAGAGAACGTGTCCTAAATTCCGAGAATACATCAGAGCAGACCCACAGCTAGGGTTGGGGGCAGGGTTACTGGACTCGGATGTTTATTGTCTGTTCAGTACAAGTCAACACAAGGATGGTGCTAAGAAAGAACAGTGAACTTGGAGGTCATGAACAAAAGGCCAGGCTGGGAGCAAGGACAGCAATGAATTGTTCTACCCAGTGCTAGGCAGACTCCACCTACATGCATATGTCTTCGGTATGGGGCAGCACCTGCAGGAAACACAGGTAATCTCAAGGGAAACTAAGATACTGAGCAGAAAGTTAGAGGTGCTTGACCTGGGCCCTCTTTACTGCAAACAAGCCTGGCCAGAAAAGGCTGTCCTGATGCCTGAGTGAGACCCAGTCAACATGACTGCGAGTTGGGACAGACAACTCTGTCCCCAGGGGTGACTTTGAGAGGTTCCGTCCTGTCATTCACTTTACTGCCTGGCACATGCTCATTTGTGAAATACACACCATCGAATGGCGATCCCAACAGCAGGCTGGTTCTGGTGTGAGTCCTTAGGGTGGAGATGCTCATTGCTTCTCTGATCAGTCCACTCCCCTCTACATAATCCCAATAAATTGAGGCCAGTTTGGTTCTCTCTTCTTAAGGACATTGTTTCATCTACGATCATTTTCTCATAGTCCGGTTTGGTCAAGGACCTCCTGATAGTTACTAAAGAATGATCCAAGCTCCAAGGTGGAGGCGCTTATCAGGACCATTGTCAATAGAGAACAGAGAGTCTGCTGGGATTCACCCCAAATCCCCCAACCAAACCGACAAGAGTCTGGACCAGCGGAGAGGTGCCTAGTTTTGAAATGGGCCGCACCTGGATTGCTGACCTGTGAAATCCATTCCAGCAGCATCTCCTCCCCATTGCTAGAAACGGGTGTTCTTTGCCATTTTCTTTCCTTTTTTTTTTTTTTTTTTTTTTTTGCCATTCTCTTTCTTAAGACCATTGGGTGATGATTTTCATAAAGCTTTTTGAAAGCAAAGGCAAGAAAAATAAAGTGCTGATTGCATGAAGTGGGATTTCTAAGGCACTAGGTTCAGGTTGCCTCCTTCTCGTTGGTTATATTTATCTCGCACTGAAACACATCGCCACTCTAATCAGCTGGCTTTGTCCCACTCTGGATGGGCTGATTACTGTCCCCATTCTTGCCCATCCTGGAGAGGTACTTAGGCACACTGAAGGAGGACCTGTGCCAGCAACAGGACTTGGGCTGGAGTTCACTCAGGTTCACTGCGTAATGGCTATTTTCAACCTGAGTTGGTCAGGTAATCTTTTTAAATCTCATTTCCCACTAAGATAATAAAAATATTTTCTCTGCCTTTTTGGGTTTGCTTTGAGGATAAAGGAGAAAATCTATTAAGAAGACATTTTTTAAAGTACAAATCAATGAGATATGAAAAATTGCTGTTCTATAAATGATATATGGTCCACTACTTTGCAATTCTGAGACGAACTTTCACCTTTCTGTTTTACGTCACTCGTTTCTCTGTAAGAAGTCTTTTGTTATCCTTTCTTTGCTAGGCACCTGTCATGCGTCAGTATTGCACTAGGGGCTGAGGAGTGAGAGCTAAAGAGGGAACCCCCAACAGTTTTCAGCAAAGCATGCTGACGAGGGCACAGGGATAGCTTCTCTCCAGACTGGGGATGGGAGGTCTGTGGGCTGGAGGAGGGGTCAGAATCCTTCCTACCATGACTTTGCTGAGCTGGGAAGGAAGCAGGAGATGAAAATGTTTGGGGAAGAACAAGTCTAGGTACGCGAAGAGGTGACAAACATACTTGTATGGGACTCTGTCATGCATTGGGGAATGTTTGGTATCCCTGTAACCAGCATCAGATGTCAGTAGTACACCCACGCACCTAATATATTCAGCATCACAGTCAAAAATGCCCTTTCACAAATACACACCCCACCAGCTCATGGGGAGTTTGGTACCATTCCCTGGTTGAGGGCCACTGCTACCAATATCTTTAGAACGAAGGAGAGAGGTAGAGAAAAGCACGACAGGCAGAGCCTAAATCATAAGTGGCCTTATATACCACCCCAAGTAGTTTACTTTCTAGGAGAAATTTCCTGGATCAAGGATAAGCAGACTGCATTTAAAGTGCTTTGGGTCGAGCCTGGCACATAATACAGAGTCAATAAATTTTGGGTCACTACCTCCCACGCTCCTGCCAAATTATAGTGGCAAATGTTTTCTTATGCATACACACGGTCTCCCTCCCAAGTTCATATCATAGCTAAACTGGTTTATGTCAGTTAATGCTAATGTTCACACGGCTAGTCAGAATTGGTAAGGAGGGGAAGCCAGCTCCATGGAGTCAGTGAAGTGTGCAGTAGTCTCTGCCACTGAACTGCATCCCCAGCCCTCTTCTCTGCTTGTGAAACCCCACAAGTGGCCCCAGAAGGCATCGATAGAGGCAAATTGTGACTCAGAAAGAAGCACACCCACAGACACCACCACTGTCCTCCTACCTGTTGCCTGGGAGTGCCAAGGGGAAGATCCTGTGGCTTGTTAATACATCTGGTGGCAACCCAAGCCTTGGCTTATAAACAGTGTGTTCATTGCCAAGACATATACTGCCTTTTTTTTCTTGTAACAAGGAGTCTCATGCATGCTAGGCAAGTGCTCTACCACTGAGCTACAGCCCTGCATTTCCCTGTACCAAGCAATGTTATGGCTATTTGTTAGGGTCCAACTGAGCTCTCAGAATCCATTTTATCCAGGCAGTATTTAAGCCATGATACCGAGAGTATCTGGAATCCAACAGTCCTGTGTGATGCTGTTTCCACAGAAGAGGTATACCTGACTCAGGTAAAAGACTGCAAACAAATACAACCCTACTTGTTCTTCCTCCACCCTAGGCTGCAGTCACACCAGCTTTTACCCTAAACCTCTGCTTGTGCTGTGTGTTTTTCCCAAAACGCCCCTGCGTAGTCCTCCTGTGGATGCTCACAGCATCCACTTCCTCTTGCCCTCAGTTGCTTGTGGCCCCATGTTATAGTTGCCTGCTTACTAAGCCACCTTCTACAAAAGACCGTGACCTTAGGGGCTGGGGATTTAGCTCAGCATCACAGCGCCTGCCTGGCAAGCGCGATGTCCTGAGTTCGATTCCCAGTACTGGAAAAAAAAAAAAAAAAAAAGACGATGACCTTTCTAAAGGGCTCAGGACCCAATAAACTCTTCACTATGTCTGCAGTGATCACTCTGGCTTGCAACACCCTGGACGTTTGTTCAGTAAGCATTCCCTGTGGAATGAATGACTGAACGAGAGAAGCTTCCCTGACTGTACGCCTGAAAGCTCAAGGATCTCCCCCACTTTCCACCATTTTCTGAGAACAGAGACCCAATCTACTGTACATGCCAAGAATTTGGGTTACACGGAGGAGAAGGAAAGGGTGGGCTAGAGTCACGAGTTTGGCTTTGAATGGGCTCAGGAGCAGAATGAAGGGTGTAGGATCCCCAGCATGGCAGGTCAGATATCTTTGAGACGGTCTGTCCTAGGAAGAGGAGTTGGGTAGAGGAGTCATCTGCCTGTTGTTTCACGAGTTGCTCCTAACTGCATTGTAAACTTCTGAAGCAGAACATATGTCCATACAAAACCTTGTACACAAATCTTTACAGAAGCACTACTCATAATAACCCCAAAGGAGAAACAACCCAAATGTCCATTAACTGGTAAGAGTGGATAAAGAAAATGTCCTAGATCTATACAGTATATGCCCATACCATATGTTTGTACAGAAGGAATGAAACACTGACATATGACCTGACATGGATGAAATTTGAAAACATGTTAAATTAAAACACCCAGACATATAATACCACATTTTATATGATCTCTTTTTTTTTTTTTTTTTTTTTTTTGCAGTACCGGGGATCGAACTCATGACCTTGCGCTTGCCAGGCAGGTGCTTGTGCCACTGAGCTATATCCCCAGCCCTTTATATGATCTCATTCATGTGATAGTTTAAAATAGAGCACTCTATTCATACGGGTGAACCTCCCATACAAGTAGGAATCTACCTAGACTGAAAGTAGATTAGTGACTACTTAGGACTAAGGAAGGAAGGAAGTTACAGCTACAGAGCACAGGGTTTTGTTTTTTGCTTTTGAGGTGATAAAAACGTTCTGAAGTTGACTGTGATAATAGTTGCTCATATCTGTGAACTGAAAGTCATTGGATTGTATACTTCAAGAGGGAGAATTGTCTGGTATGTGAGTCATATCTCAATGAAGCTGTTATTAAAAATAAAACCCACAAAGTTTAAAGTGAGGTGTTAGCGCCACTTTTTTGAGAACTTCATTCCTCCTAAAATGACATGGCAAGATGACTTGCCTGCATTTCCAGGGCCCGTGGGCTTCCCAGCATGCTCTACTCCTCCTTCTTTTTCCCTGTAGCCACCAAAGGTAACCATCACCGCTTCCCAAAGCCAAGGCCCCTTCCAGGGCTCACTGCAATGCTTCACTGTACAGAAAGAATGTTATAAATATTAATGCAGTCAAATGTACAGATCAAATACACAGTCATTGTTTAAATGAAAAGGATTAGCAATCATTTTTAAACTAATAATTAACCAAAGAATAGGATGCAATACTATCCCCTGCCTCCATTGGTATAGCAAAGGTAGTGAATGATTGTGAATTCCATCCTGACATGTTAAGATTTTTCATTCTAAAGTGTTGGTTGTAGGATGAGGACCTAATCGCTTTTTCATAGCTACTTGTTGATTTTTATGCTATTAATACTTTTTGAAAATATGTATAAAGACATGGTAGAAAGTCAATGTGTGTGTGTGTGTGTGTGTGTGTGTGTGTG